TCAACTGCTTGATATTGTATTTCAGGTCTGTGATGCTTGTTTAATTTTTCAAAAAGATCTTTTTTTCATTCTGTGTGTTTTATATTGGATTGTTTCCAATGCTCGTTTCAAAATCATTGATCTTTTTCTTCTGTGTTATCTAATTTGCAGTAAATCCTATCTGATGTGCATAGAGCTTTTTTCATTTCTGATATTGTATTTATCTTTTGTGGTTCCATTAGATTTTTTTTTATAATTCCTGTTTTCCTCCTCATCTTGTTTATGTTTCCCTTTAGATCTTTGATATATCTTAAACATATTTATAAGACTTAAAATATTGCTTATAAGGTCCTTGTCTGCTAATTCCATCATCTCTGTTATTTATGAGACTGTTTCTGTTCACAGATGTCTTATGAATCATATTTTTCTGCTTCTTTGCCTACTGTAATTTTTAGATGCTGGATACTGTGAACTTTACATTGCTGAGTGTTGAATATTGTTGTAATCCTTTAATGATTACAACATTAAACAATAAGAGGTCTGTCATCACTTTTATTGTTGTTCTCCTGAATGTAATATGTACTTTTCTTTGGCTGCTTTTAAGACCTGAGTGTTATATTTACTTTTCAGCAGTTTGACTATGATATGCCTTAGCATTGCCCTTGTATTCCTGCTGCACTATTTATAGAGACAGAAATTAGTAACAACTCAAATATCTAAAAACCTGAGAATGGTTCATTGTTCGTTGACATAATGGAATGGCACTGAATAACGGTGTAGCTTATGTTGGTCCAAGATAAAATGTATATGAAATAATGTTCAGTAAAAATTGGAACAAACTATTATAAGTAGTAAGCTTTAAAAAAATGAAAGATACTTATATAAGAAACTTATAAATTTACTAGTCATGTAAGTAGTGTATTGAAGTAAACCATTACTTCCTCTGAAAATCTTTTTTTATAACAGCTTTTGAGATGTAATTCACATACCATGAAATTCTTCCATGCAAAGTATACACTTAAAGTATGCAATTCTAAGAATTTTGAGTATATCCATAGAGTTGTGCAAACATTACAATTAACTCTAGAAAAATGTTATCATCCTAACAAGAAACTCCATACCTATTAAGCAGTCACTTCCCAGCTTTGCGCAGTGGCAGTATCGTAGCCAATGAGGTTTATCCGAGGCGCGATTATTGCTAATAAGCAGTCACTTCCCATTTTCCCCAATGCCACCCAGTCCTCAACAACCACTGATCAATTTCTCTCTCTATGGTTTTGCCTCTTCTGCACATTCTGTATAGATGGGATCATAGTATCTGTCGTTTTCTTACAGGCTTTTTTCACTTAGCATAATGTTTTCAAAGCTTATTTATGTTATAGCATGTATTAATACTTTATTTCTTTTTGTCATGAAATAATATGCAATAGTATCAGTTTCAATTTTTTTTTAATGTTTATTTATTTTTGAGAGAGAGAGAGACAGACAGACAGCACGAGCAGGGGAGGGGCAGAGAGAGACAAAGACACAGAATCCAAAGCAGGTTTCAGGCTCTGAGCTGTCAGCACAGAGCCCCAACATGAGGCTCGAACTCATAAACCACGAGATCATGACCTGAGCTGAAGTCCAACCCTTAACCGACTGAGCACACCAATGTTATCAGTTTTAGATCATGATTAATATTATAATAAGTAGCTCTATACATAAAGACTTTTAAGATGGATACCTAAAATGGAATTAGTACGTCAAAGAAAATGAACCATTTTTCATGTTATATTTTTAATGTATTTATAGCTCTATATCTATATACTTACATATACTATATACAAATCTATATCTATATACTTCAAAAGGCTACATAAATAATGTGAACTTACTTTAATTTCCTGAAAATGCAAATAAGCATTAAAGAGAAGATCCTTTTGACTACTGCTGTCTCACACTCCACTCCTCACCCCTGGGCTTGTTCCTCTATTTTCTACTCCTAGAGGCAGCCATTATCCTGAGTTTGGTACCTACCCTTCCAATTCATATGAAAAAAAATTTTTTTAAGTTTATTTATTTTTGAGAGACACAGAGAGACAGAGCATGAGTGGGGGAGGGGCAGAGAGAGAGAGAAAGACACAGAATCTGAAGAGGCTCCAGGCTCTGAGCTGTCTGCATAGAGCCCAATACGGGGCTCCAACTCACAAGTCATGAGATCATGACCTGAGTCGAAGTCGGACGCTCATTTTTAAAAGGCTTTTAATTATATGTTATATGGAGGTTAATAATTCCATTGTGATGCCTGCAACACAAATCCCTATGTGCACTATTAAACAGAACAAAAGCTAATTATATCACTTCTATCCTTTCCATCAATATTCATATCATATAAATAAACCATAGTGTAATGGGAGATCTGAATCCCAATAATTGACTCTAACAGCCATCCTAATAATTCATTCCATGCCCTGAAGATAATACCATATTGTATTTCAGGAGGCTATTTTAATTCCAAGGAAGGTAAACAGGATTGATTTCAAGGGGCTTCAGATTCAGCTTGGGACCAAAGCACTCAATTTGATTATAGATTTGATAATTAATCAACTCATTCTTAAACTCCAAAAGTGATACCTAATTACTGTATAATTGGAGTAGATTATTATATCAGCCATTAAAATAATGGAACTTTGTGAACTAACTCAAATATTTAATAGGCACAATGCTGATATTTGGTTGAATATTTTTGATTACTTAGTTTTGGAGGAGGCCTCTGGGCATTGTCCAGCACTCAGGGTGACTGATCAGGTTTACTGGGTTTCCTGGCTGCTTTACAAAAGCCAGGTGGCCATGATTTGTTGCTCAAATCTCTTGATTTTTTTTCTGGAAAGAAATGATTTCTCTATACAAATACCTGGTGGCAGCACATGTCATTCATATGCTCTTGTAGTTGAATCTGAATTGTCTCATGTTTCCTGGGACTTTCCAAAAGAAAATTTTTTTTAAGTTTATTTATTCTCCAGTGAGAGAGAGAGAGAGAGAGAGAGACAGAGACAGACAGAAGTAGGGGGGAGGGAGGGAGGGGCAGAGAGGGAGGGAGGGAGATACAGAATCCAAAGCAGGCTCTAGGCTCTGAGGTGTCAGCACAGAGCCCGACAAGGGGCTGGAACTCACAAACCATATTGATATGACCTGAGCCAAAGTTGAACGCTTAACTGACTGAGCCACCCAGGGACCCCCTTGGGACTTTAAATTTTGAAGATTTAAGACATAACCTCAGGTAATCTCAGGGCAAAGGCCCTTTGGTTAATCTCTTGTGGATTTTCATGACAGTTGATCTGCAAGTGTTTTCAACTATCTCATGAAAACCTAGGGAAAGGATTGAATAATAAGACGCCATACCAAAATTATCTGTAAGTTTTCAAAGTGCCAATTCACTCTCATTTAAAAATACTGTGCTGCCCTCTTAGATCATTCCGCCACTAAATTACCCATCCTAAAATGTTATATCAGTTTTTTCGAAGAAGAGAAAACAGAGCTATCATTTTTTTCAGAGTTTGAGTTAGACTTTAGTAGAAGTATCAGACAGATATCAGTTAACAGTAGCTCCCCTCCCCCTCCCCCACCTATCACAGAGAGATCCCTTGGTAAATAGAGTGGGACATTTGCAGGTGAGTATTGAGCAGAAGCACTGTGCTGGTTTGAGCACAGTGAGTTGTGAGTTGGTGAGAAAAACCAGGTGTGCAGTCTAATTCATTTTGGATTTATTTTGGATGCTTAATGATGAATGTAAAAGAACTGTGCCTCTTTTAGCTTAAAATTAGCACCCCAACCCCTTTCTCCTGACCTGTAAACTTAAGTTTAAAACAGAGAAAAAGAACACCTAGTGTAGGTCAAATTCTAGATTTGTTTTGTGTTTTCTTGGAGAGTAGGTATTGGTATCATTCCCATTCTGCAGATGAGGTTCAAAGAGGTCAGAAGACCTTGACCAAAGACTAACCAGCAACTGGGGTTTGGGGAGGGCCATTCTGAAATGTGACAGGCCTGCCACACCCCTTCTGGCCAAGGTCTAAGCCAGAGCCGGGTTTGAACAGTGCAGAGGGCAGTGACGTGGGACAAATGCCAGGCTTCACTCTGCCAGCTCTGTGTGGCCTCCGCCATTCTGACCGCAGTGTCGGCCTCCTTAAGCGCAAGGTCCTGCCACTGCAGAGCAGATGCTCCGCGAGGCCTCGCGATCCACGTGCTGCAGGGCCCACGTTCTGACCACTTCCCAAACCCCCGAGCAGCTGGAGGAAGCCGCTTGGGCCGTGGTCACCGTCAAGTGACTACTACGTCCTTTACTCCGGAGGCGTTCCCTTACCGGGCCGGTCTCAGTCCCTGCCTGTTTTTCAAGGTGCAAAACGTGCACACCGAGCTTGCCCCTGCGGGCACCCGATTTCCCACACCGCCCCCAGACTCTACTGGATGAGAACGGAGTTGAAGCCTGGGTTGTTTTACTGCCCACCACATCCCGCTCCTCTTTGGTGGCTCGCGGGGGGCGGCCCGCGGTAGCGTTCAAAGTGCTGTCTCCAGGGACGCCGCAGCCCCAAGGCCGGTTTGTCCCCCTGCCGTGTCCGGGGGATCGGGGCTGGAGGAGGGGTGCAGGAGCGAGCCGCAGGGCACACCCGCGGGTCCCACGCCCCGCCGACTGCGCATCCTGCGGCGCCGACCTCCGCGGGGGGGAAGGCGAGGCGCAGCGGCCGCCGAAGGCTTGGCACCGGCTGGGGCCCCGGGCGGCCGCCGCTCCCTCCGCCGCCCCACCTCTTGCCCGGCCCTCCCCACCCCGCCCCACCGCCCGCCCGCAGGTGCAACCGCGGCGGCCGCCGAGTAGGTGCGTGGGGATGATCTCACTCGCGCGCTCCGCGCCAGGAGGAGGAGGAGCGGGAGCAGACCCAACTTCCGGGTAGTGCAGCCGCACGCCACCGGCATCTTGCTTTTCCTCCCCCTCCCCCCCGCTGCACCCCTCGCCTCTCCCTCCTTTCCTTTATTCCCGGCCCCACCTGCCAAAATGAACAGCTCGGACGAGGAGAAGCAGCTGCAGCTCATCACCAGCCTGAAGGAACAAGGTAGGCGGGCGCGCGGCCGCCAGGTGCGGGCAGCCGCGGCCCGTGGGCGGGGACGGCTCCCGGGCGCCGGGTCGCGGCTGCGGCAGGCTGGGTGGGCGGTGTCGCGGCTGCCGCGCTCACACCCGTAGCCCCATCACCCGTGCGGGAGCGTCCTCCGCGCCCCGCGCGCCTAAGGAGAGCCCGGGGCCGAGGGTCAAGAGCGCGTGTCGGGCCCGGCAGTGCGGGCAGCCCTCCCCGGCCCTCTGGGGTGGGGGGAAGGGGCCGAGATTTGGGGCGGACGCGGCACCACCTCACACGCGGGAGAAGCGGGTGGGCCGGACGTCTCGGGAGGAGGCGGTTTGGGCAGCTCCGCGGGCCGCGCTCCCCAGCCTCGGCCCCACCCTTGCACCTTGGCGCTGGGAGGCCTGCCGCGCTGCCGCTACGCAGCCTTCCCTGCTTTTCAGCCCCCTTCGGGCTAGTTCCTCTTTCCTTCCCCAGCCACAATTCCAGGCCCCGATGTGTTTGACCACTTACCATTTTTAGCAGTTTATTAGTCAGTGAGCCAACACCCTGCCTGTGTTGGGCTTCCTGAATTCAGACTTGGCTCTGGTCAGGAGAGCCAGGCCCTGTGCATGCATTTCCACACTTCGCCTGGGGATTACCTCCTGGTAAAAAACTGTTCTAATCAATAATTTTCACCTCTTACTGCACTTGGCTACAAAGCCAAATTAGCGATCAAGTGTGAGTTCAACACTCTTTACGTTTACAATTACTGTTATTATCCGGCCCGAAGGTGGCCCGAGAATGTGGGTCAAGAAAGTGAGGAACCGCACAGATTTAGGAAGTAAAAACGTGTAGGAACTTGTGCTTTTCTGAATCACTTGGTGACATGGCCACATAGTGGAAGGGGGCCTGCTCTGGGGCTAATCCTGCTGTTCACTCTCAACTCTTTCACTTCTGTTGGCTCAACTTGACAAGGCTCTTCCCTTCCATGGGTCTTGCGGTGATAACGCCTTACCTGACTGAAGGCAGGGGCTAAACCAGATGATTTTATTGGGCCCTGCCCAGTTCTGTGCACCTGTTGCTCTTTTGAAACCACAGACATACCATTCGCAAGGGTGTGTGGACCCCTCTGGAATTCACACTCCTGGAAACAAATCTCAGCACGATTGTTTACCAATCCTGTGATCTTGGGGAAATTATTACCTCACTGAAGTGGACAGAACCCATTTCCTTTGTTGTATCTAGCGTCTAGAAACCATTGGATAAATGTTAATGGCCTTTCCCAGCACCTTTGACTCTCATCCTAAATTAGCCTTAGTTCATAAAGTCACAAGCATCGGTGAATCCAGTGGGTGGGTGAAATGCCCTTATCTGACATTTCTCAAGTGGCTTAGTTGAGGGGCTGGATTCTGTTAGTATTTTATTTCTAATAGCGCTCTTCCCCCAGTAACATAGTACTTGGGATTCTAGACAGTTGGAGCTTTCGTCATTGGTAATATCTGTCAGTTGGATATCAGAGCTCTTGATGGATGGTTGGTTTTCAAATAATGATGCAATAAAAAAAACTTCACTCCTTTTTATTCTGAGTATAATTTCAAGGGTAGATTAACAATGCGGAAAATCCACAAGTTGTTTATATTTGATTTGGGAGTACATTCTCTATCTCTGTGTTGGATTTGAGAGCCGAGAAAAAGGGAGGATTCTTAAGTTTTTGGCTCTTTCTCAGATATTGGAAAACAAATCTATGGTTTGGTATTTTTAGAGGATGTATTTCCTTGATGATGGGCGTATCAAAGGCAGAACAGTTAGGCTTTGGAATTTGTGTCTTAAAAGGTGCCCTTTTTTTTTTTTTTTTTTTTTTTAGGATTGAGTCTGGTTACATGGGTGTTGGGATTTTTTTCAGCCCATCTCAACACCAGACCATTTATTTGACATAGGATCATAGACTGTGATAACAAAGGACTTATTTCAAGGGCATTTAACTGCTGTTTGACCCATGGAATTAATTGGGAAGATGGGAGTTTGAGGTAGATGAACAGGCAACTGGGTGTTTGGGCTCTTGCCCCTAAGATCATTAATCTTGTAAGCTGATGGTATGTGTGATTTATTTTTGAAAATAGACAATATATTTTTAATCCCTGTTAACATGGTGAATAATTCCACTACTCCTATTTAATGCGGACAAGAAAAACCATTACCGATGAACACTCTAGTTTCCTTTTTCAACCCTGTGTAAACATATTCATGTATTCCTTTAACAAATACTTACCAAGTACCTACCATGGATGAGGCCCAAGTGGGAGGCCCTCGGTGTAGATAGTGAACCAAACAGACATTCCTTGCTCTCCACCAGGTTTACTGTCTAGTAGACAGTTAAGAATCAAATAACCACACAGATGTGTGCAATTACACATTGTTTTTGTAGGATACATTCTTAGAAATGGAATTGTTGGATCAGAGGGCAAGTAAAGTTTTTGTTTTTTAATGTTTATTTATTTTTGAGAGCGAGGGAGACAGATTGTGAGTTGGGGAGGGGCAGAGAGAGAGGGACGCACAGAATGTGAAGCAGGCTCCAGGCCCTGAGCTGTCAGCACAGAGCCCGATGCGGGGCTTGAACCCACGAGCTGTGAGATCGTGGCCTGAGCCAAAGTCGGATGCTCAACTGACTGAGCCACCCAGGTGCCCCGTGGTAGACATAAAGTTTTGCTGGGCGTCATCAAGGTGCCCCCAAAAATGGTTGTACCAGTTCACCTGGCCCCCCCCCGGCAGTGTCCATTCCCCCCCCCCCCCACTTGTCACCGTTGACCAACCTCGGTCTTTACTAATTGTGACAGTCCGATGAGTTTCTTCATTTTCGCCAGTCTGATGAACAAACATGGCACCGTTAGAAAAATTAAGTGAGGTTCTTAGTGAGGTTTGCAATCTTTTTACAAGGTTATTGGCTTCCTCATCTCATTTCTTCGTTAGTGAATTTTTGGTCAAAAATTTGAACCCGTTCCTCGGGAGTATGTTCAGAAAGAAGATTCCTATCTACTCTGAATGGCAGAACTGACCCAGCCTTCCCTAATGTGAAGCCTGCGGTGGTGTGGTGAATAAGGTTGCTTTTGACAAAAGTTGTGAAATGTAATGACGGAGTCTGTCATAATACGAACAATCTCTAATTTATACTTACCATTCCCTCGGCTCTATGTCTTATAAATCACACCCACTTCTGAATTACTTCAAAACATTGTATGTTCCCTTCTAGTGAATGGTATAATTAGCTATATTATGTCTTTCTAGAAAGTTATATTATGTCCCTTGAAAAAAATTAGCCAGTGTGTGATTGCTTATGTTCAAGCAGATGTTGAGGTAATGAGGTAATTCTCTTTTTGTCCTTTCTGGAGCTTTATTTTATTGGACTGATTGACATCTTTAATGCACTGACAAATGGCAACTTGGGATACTATTTCCGATGCATATTTCTTAGCTACTAAAGTGGACATTTCCCTTACAAAACATCGTACGATTTGCTCTCCCTCCCGAATTCTGCCGGGAAATGATCGACTTAGCTCAGCATTTGTTTAAGGTACATGATTTCCTCCGTAATTTATTCGTCCCACGCGCATTGAATATTCATAGCCAGGCACTGTGCTAGGCATCAGAGTTGGAGAGATGAATAAAACCTTGTCCCTGCTGGTGAGGAGTTCCTAGCCTAGAGATGGTGGTAGGCATGTGAATTCCAGGAAGAGTGTCTAGTTGGCAGAGTTTGGGTCATGGGTTTAAGTCCTTTGGGCAGGGCAGGGCAGGGCACCTTGATTGGCAGCCCCCATAAAGGCCATCAGATCGGAGTGGTTGTCCAAACAAGAATGGTGTACCACTACCAGAAAGGGGGGCGGGTTGCAAGTTGGGCAGACACAAGAGACGTCCACTACACTGGTCAGGGTAGTAATGCCATGTCACTTGGAACCTGGCGAGGAAGTTTTGAAGGGTGTGATCATACCCAACAGTTAATGATGTTACGATGTGAGACCACAACCACGCCAAGCAGACTGAAAACACTATCGGAAAGTAAGATAATGGGCTTTAAAGCAAGGTAACATTTCATCTTTAGAGTTAGCTATCATTTTCTCCAAGACTATAGCGATAGTGCTTAAGCTTCCGATGGGAATTTAGCCAGGCTTAGTCTTAGAGCTGAGTTAGTCATTAAAGAGGCTCCCAGCGTTGCCTTGACTTCTAGGCCACAAAGTAGCTAGAGCATTATTTCGACAAAAGGGGCCCAAAGGATTGCCTACTGCCGTGACTGTATCAGTCAGGAAAAGCTGAAGCATTGTCGGTCTTGGATACACACAAAGTCAGTCAGTAGAAAGCAGTTTGGGATTAAACGGTTGCCATGGTACCAAGTGCAAACTTGGCCTCACGTCACTATTTTTACAAGTGTGGTCCGGGGGGCCACCGGTCTCTGAATAATGGGGGTACGTACGCACTTTCTTACTTATTGATGAAAAGAGGCCTGGTGAATTTATTTTTCTTCATCTGGGTATGTTTTTTGTAAAATCGACACTTAGGATGTTTGGCTTTCACAACAAAATATAACCTAGATTGAGAAAAGTGCATGAAATAGGAATGAGCATCTCAATGAGTTATTGAAAAAAAAAAAAGTGCTTCTAACAACACTTAAATCAGAACATTTCCAGAAACCCCTTCATAACCTCCCAATCCTTCTCACCTGCCTTTCCCCGATGCTATTTGTGTCTCCAAAGGTAAGTTCTGCCAGCCACTGAAGATTAGCTAAATGGAATCATACAGGATGCATTATTTGCTGTGTCTTCTTTCACTCATTACGTGTGGGATTTATCCGCATCGTGTGTGGTTGTAGTTCATTTATTTGCATTGCTGAATAGTATTCCACTGTATGAATGCACCCAAAAAAAGTTTTTAAGTGAACATACTGTGGATCCGAGGTCAGCGGACTTTTTGTGTAAATGGCCAGATAGTATTTTAGACTTTGGGGGACATTCGGTGTTGGCTGTAACCCCTAAAAATGCAGTTTCCTCCTAAA